CAATGTGGCAAATGTGGCACTAATACAAATTATAAAGTAATATTTAATGTAAACTGCTCAATTATTAAAGGGGCAATATGTAATTATTTCAGTTTAAAATGTTCAAAAATTAACTTTATCAACAGAATGTGAATGTGTAATGTTTTACAGAGCTAGCTACTGAGGTTAGCATGCTAACCAGCTAGCCCCGGCCAGTCCCGTCGCATAAAACCACTTTGTATCTCAAGAGGTGAGAGTGAGTCTCTGTAGCGTCCAGTCTGTCCTCAGTCCAACATGAGAGGATGAAGATGTAGTATCTGTGAGTCCCCCCTTGTGACCTCTCGTGTCTTGTCCTCTACTCCTGTGAACGCCACATCTTGCCTGTCTCTGACTGGGCAGACCAACGAAAACAACCAAGCAGTTACATAATCAGACTCCAAGGTAAACCTGTGTGGAAAACATTATTCCCCCAATCCATGAAGGTTTGGCAACATTGCCCTATGCTAAGGTTAGATTTATTCAAGTTAACGTTAGCTCAGCGCGAGGGTTGTGATTGGTCAGTGAGATCACGCTCTCATGAGCACCCTGAATGACAGGTACACAGAGATAAAAACTTTATGGATTTTTTATTTGGCTTCCCACTGCGGTTTGTCTGAAGCCTTCATTTAATGTTTTAATCTTGCACTTTAATTAGATATTATCTGTTTTATAATCTGTGTTTTTCTTATTGTGCTTTTTACTTCTATTTTTATGCTTCTTTTATCTTCTCTTAAGCACATTGAATGACCTCTGTGTATGAAAATGTTCTATACAAATAAATTTGCCTTGATGGCCGGTTCGACTCTGGCACAGGGGAAGGGGAGGTGGGAGGAGGGACCAATGATGCATTTGCTTGTTTCTTATGACAGAGGTGGACGCTCCAACTGTCATATACTTCATCCTAACACTCATCTCTTTTCCTACGTGGAAAACAGTGGTGAAAGCAACACGGATAATGAAACACAAGCGTTACCCTCCTTGTTGTCTTTGCTAGAAGCTGTTGAGGAGTGAAATTCTGCATTTTAATGCTACAACCTTTGCTGTTCCTTGTTCGTAGTATTTTTTGCAACTAATCAAGTGCACAGTCGACAATCTGCTTCCTGTTTTACACCCCAGTTCACATGATCGCTCGGGTATGTGTGTGTTTTCAGGTGTGATAGTCTTGGTTTGAAAGCGCTGTTTTGAAATGAAAACGTAGTCGTGCCGAAATACACATTGTTCCTTTAAAGTGACTGAAAAGAAAAGACAAACAGAACGTGAGAAATTGACCTTGAAAGGAATCACAGGGTAAACTCTGAGAGTGTGGCAGATTAATCTGAGCATCAGCTGTTACTGAACACTTCCCCTCAGCTCCGGCCTCTTCAGTTGTTTGAAATACAAATGACCACACTGAAGCTCAACCACACAGGCTTCATTTACATTACATCTCAACACGTAGGTCACACATGCCCTCAAGCTTCCCGGCCTGTCGCCACAACACACACACACACACACACACACACACACACACACACACACACACACACACACACACACACACACCGGGAACCACATTACCACCAACATTTGCCCCTTGACACATACACATTTGTATGTATAACATATACAACTTGCAGATGTCTCCACTTGTATGTTGATTTGTGAAAATCCGGCTGCCATGTGTGCAGCCCCTGGAGTGACTGATGAAACCTTTTAGCGTCGTGCAGTTTCAGGCTGTTACGACTACAGAGTGGCATAGATGAAAATTCATAGCGATCATTATCGTTCCTTTAACTGTGAATGAACTGAGCTTTCCGGTCATTTGTAATTCATCCACACAAACAAGCCTGATGTACCTTTAACCTGCTTCTTAACCCCCTCCCTCCCCCCACTGCCAGCCTTATCAGGTAGCAGTAAATCTGACAAGGCACATGGAACTACTTTCCCCTGCCTGAACGTAGCTGGATCAACGGGATCAGGTGTTGTTTCTTTTTTGTGGGGGGGGGGGGGTTTATTTGCAGGAGATGGAAGTGCCAGGCTTTATAGATAATCAGACTAACAGATGAGCCTTTATCCTGTTCTCACACATGCAGGCCTGGGACACACTTGTTGCACTTTGTGTGTGTGTGTGTGTGTGTGTGTGTGTGCAGACAATGGTGCTGCTGTTTGCCCATCCACCATTGCTGCTGTAAGTTGCCTTACACCTGTGCTTGGCAGCCCTCCCCCTTTTCTTCCAACATACACACATAAACCCCAATCAAACCCCCCCTGTCCACTTTAGTTCTCAGTTTACACTGTGCATTAGCTATTAGTGCTGCACCACAAAGAACAATGTGTATTCAACAGCTCAGATAATGCACGTCTTATCGTTTCATATCAACATGGCAGAGGGACGATATCAAAGGATTCTTCAGTCCCCTAACCTCCCCCCTCCTCCCCTCCTCCCCTCGTAGCTCCACTCATTCTATCATTACTTAAACCCATAACTGAGTAGCACCCCCCCATCCTCCTCCTCCTCCGGTTCCTACTCATAAATGAGGACAAGGAGTGAGAAGTGAGAGGGTGAGGGGAGCGTCGGGGCAGCTGTGGAGGCGGGTGAGTGGTTGGATTTTAGGGGTTCAAAAGCTCACGGGGAGCCGTGGCGTTCTGCTGCGGTTTGAGGGGGCCTTTGTGAAACTGGAGCCCCCAGAGGGGGAGGGAGGGAGGGAGGGAGGGTGGGCGGGAGGGTGGGACACACAACCTCGGCCAGCACAAGCCCAACTCCTTTCCCGCAGTGTCAGCGCCACAGGTGTGTGAACGACAATGCATGTGTGTGTTTGAGAGAGAGAGCCGCGTCCAATCAATGACACACTGTATTGTAATCATGTGTGGACGAGGCCGGCGCTCAAAGGTAAACACAGTCGGGAATAAACTGTTAGGAGCCAGGTACTACCCTCCAATCAGAGCTCTGCATTCAATAGTGTACAGGATGGTGGTGGTGGTGGTGGTGGTGGAGGGAGGGACTGGGAAGCAAGATGTAAAGCACAGCACCTCCGTTATCGCTTCCATAGCTGTTGCTCAACACTTTGCCATAGTAACACTGAGAAACAGACAAAGAAACCAAGTCAGATAAAGCTGGACAGTGAATTCCTCTCTGTACCAGTTGCTAGGTAAAGGACTTTTCTTAATTCCCCACTCCAGCTCCCACATGACCCTCCTGAGACTGAAAAACTAGATTAAACATTTTTTGTCCATGACTCGCCCGCTGTCTCCCTGTAGGGCTGGCAGGGTGCAGCATTTTTGGGATATTTCCCATAAATTATGACGGGCTATCAGTGGGGCCAGCTGTACTCTTGAATCCTGGTATTCAGAGTTGCTATTATGCTTTTATGAATACATCTCTCTCCGCCTGTCACACTGATTCCACCTCTGTATGTGGGGATGCTCAGAACAAAGACGCGTCAAGTGCAACGGCTCACGCTCCCTTTTTTTTTCCCTCCTCGGGCTCATTCACTGTGCCAAACAATTCTCAATCAATATCCACATGCAAATGATCCTTGTGCCCCGCGGGCTGCTTGATAGCCAGGTAGGCAAAACTGTAACCACCATCATGCTGCCTTCAAGTGCCCACTCTAAACTCTACTTCTTTGGCATTTTAGCAGGATGGCTGAGGAGTTGGTACTTAAAATTTACTGTAGTGCAGATTAGGGACCGCACTGAATGATAATTATCACTAGTAATTAATTTGTCAATTACTTTTTTAATGAAAGAATCAATAGTGTGGTTTATGAAAAGTCAGGATATGGTGAATATATGACATTAAACAGTAAATTAATAGTCCAAATTGCTGGTGATAAAGTTTCTATCAATTGAGTAATCTCCTACTAATCATTTCAAAACAGTTCTGAATAGTATTTGCAATTGTCCTCTAGGCAAATATTAACTTATAGTCTGCGTCTTTATTGATGTATTGATTATTCACTTACCATGTCATGTCATAAACCTCTTTAATGCAGCCTTTTAGTATCTCAAGTCTTAAAGGTCAGATCTGCAGTGACAAAGTGCAGCATTTTCCATTCAGTGAACGCACACAGTAATATGTTATATATATATATATATATATATATATACTGTATGTATGTATATGTATATACATATATATATATATAGTATGTAGTGAGTTCCAGGTGGGATAATAGTAAGGGGCAATAAGGAGCAAACATCAAGAATGCATCTCTATAGTTCACCTAAACACACTTGCACATTGGTCAATATACACATATTTATTTATTAATATTTATCTACTTTTAATTTCTATCGTAAACTTGTGGAATTTCTGCGTATTTAACTGTATTTTATTGCATTTTAATTCAGCTGCTGACATTTTAATTTCCCTTTAGATTAATAAAGTCATCTATCTATCTATCTATCTATCTATCTAGAATGAATTACATGGAAGCAGTGATAGCTTAGATTTATCGGCCTATAATGAATTTTTTTGTGTTAATAAACAGTCGTTTCACTTTCAGTGTTTCAGCAGATCAGCGTGTTTGGACAGATTGATGTTGACTGATACGAGGCACACAGATGTTTACTATCAAGTTTTAACATTTGCTCCGTGCACATGAATCAAGCTGCACATGAATCTTTTATCAACTTGTTCCCAATGTGCGTAAAATCCGACAGTCCCTAAAGGTTGCAGAAGTTTCTCATGTGCCACCCCCGGCCCCCCCACCTTCCCTCCACCCCCGCCCCCCAACCTTCCCTCCACCCACCTTCACCCTCCACCCCGCCCTGATATATGCGCGTAATGATTGCCCCCCCCCCCCCCCCCCCCCCCCCCCATACACAACACGATACACACACACACACACGCAAGCACACGCACACACACACATTCACATTCCAGTGGGCGGAGTCGGTGACGTGCAGGGCCGTTTGTGAATGAGCCGCAGAGCGCAGCCTGCAGCTCTCAGATAGAGTCCGGCCAAGCCCAGCAGCAGAGAGAGAGAGAGAGAGAGAGAGAGAGAGAGAGAGAGAGAGAGGAAGGAAAAGTTTGCCAAATGGATTTCTTCGGGGGAGTCAGACCTTTATTATTTTCATATTTTCTCATTAACGGTATATTAATTACATTACAGACTAAAGAAGGTGAGTGTCTTTTTCTTTTCTTTTTAAAAATAGTTTCCCAGAATTCTTTAAAAACTTTATTGTAGTGGAGCACGCGTGCCATGCGGGAGCCTCCTGTAAGAAACTTTAAAACCAGGAAACATTCCTCCTGACTCCCGTGACAGCTGTACAGAGTCTCTTAAGTCTTATTTTAACACACAGCTGCAAGTGTTTACAAATGTCGCTCATCGAAGTTTTTCATATTTAATTATTAATCGATCGATTAGAGAGTGTAAGCTGCTGCATGTGCGCCGCTCTCAGCTTTAACAGCAGCAGGTGAATCCAGGAGAAAGTTTCTGAAAGTTTTGAATCACCCTGTAAACTAATGTTTTTCTCCTGTATCGGCCTTAGAAACTTTATTTTTGACATTATTTACTTATTTTAACATTCAGATACCGACATAATCTGAACAAAGTGTAACCTGTGTAAGTATATGAGTAAATAAATGCAGTATTACATGTGGCAAATAAAACTAAAACTACATTTACTTTAAGTTTTGAAGCTTCTTTTTTTTAAACTAAACAACGTTTTAAAGTTTGATTTGATCAACTTTACTCACTGTCATCCGTACATATCAAATATTAATATCATTAAAGACGATTTCCATCAGTTCTGAGTTGATGAGTTTTAGAGGTTTATTCTCCGGTGCTGACCGTGTTCTCGTGTCTCCACAGAGGTTCTTTTGGATATGAGGGCAACAGGAGGTGAACTGGGCTGGCTGACATGGCCCTTAGAGCAGGGAGACAGGCCCGGGGTGAGTATCTCGCCCTTCTCTCCTCCAGCTCTGTGACTTTTTTTCACTTGGAATTTGCCTCAGGATAAATCTGCAGTGGAACCACATTCACAGGAAGAGTGTGGATGAACTGAGATCCTCCGGTGCAAAAAATATTTGACCATTTGACTTGTGCGGTTAGCCGATGAGCGAGGCCTCGTGTGTGTTTACATGTCAGGTTTCTTTTCTAAAAAAAGAAAGAAAAAAGTGTGGCAGTTAGAGGTTAATGGTGTCCTGTGTCTGGATATGAGAAGGAGTTGTAGGATCCCATGAGGAGCATGTCTGGACTGCACCAGCGCTCAGGCAGACAGGAGAGCTGCTGTAGCTCTGAGCTGGGAATACTTGTGGCTTCTTGTGGTTTCAAGGCTTCAGCTCCAGAATTGTATGTTAGAGAGCAATTAACTTTTAAAGTTTGCAGCATGTGGTACCTCTTTTTTAATGGGGGAGGGTTTTTTTTTTTTTTTTTAGATGCTGCTAATCACCCAGAGCTACCTTTCCCCTTAAACCGGAGGGGAGGGGGAGAGGAGATGTGTCTACAGGCTGCAGCGTTACACCCAAACGCTGCGGTTATCTCTTTGCCAGTATACAGGAGCCTTGTGTGCCGTCTTCCATATTGCGGTTTCAGAGTAATTGACCAGTCAGGCTCATGCAAATTCGCTGTAAACTGCCTCATTTCATGTGCTGATGACTTAAAGGCATGTGCAGATGTGTTGTTCACAGAGACGCACCCAACTTCTAACCAAGAGGTTTGGCTGCTGAAAAAAATCACCTTGATACTGAAGTTATACTTTTAGCACTGAAACGCATCACGTGTTCGTTTGTTGGAAACTGTTTTTATTGAGCACATTTTCTCATGTAACTACCATCACTTATGACAATTATTATTTTAAGTTTTAAAGCCCCCCCCCCCTCATATAAATGTGCACCAGCTGTTTAATAGAGGTGTCGGCTCTGCTGTTGTACATCAGTTTTATATGCAGAGCCACACACTCAGCCAACAAAGCACATTCCTTTAATTAATAGCATAGTGGCTGCATGCACAGAGCAAACCACAGGCCCCCCCGGCCCTGTGGGGGCCAGTTGCTCCTCAAGAACCGAGGTTATGTTAAAGCATGCTGTCACTTTTTTTTTTTTTTTTCCAGAAATACTTGTGGCAGCATTTCGTATGCGAGTTGCAACACTATTTGGGGAAAGATGCCAGTAGTAACAACGGCATGTGAACGACTGGATTGGAAATAATTTGGTATCTTTGCAATGTCAGAAATGCGTTCTCACACAAAAGTCCCTGAGCTCGATTGTTTTACTGTGAGTGCGGGTGGAGTTGAGTTGTTCCTGTTGCAGAAATGTGTCGTTGAACTGAAAGATCGTCAAAAATGTTCAGGGGGAGAAGTCAGTAGTGCGTAGAGCCCCTGGTGTCCCGTCACACTCTGTTTTTGTTTCCAGGTTCAGATTACAGTGGTTGAAGTTTATGGTTCCTGTTTTATTTTTGCCTCCCTCACAGCTTTGGTTCGTCCCAGCATGCTCAGGGGCTCCCCGGGGTCAGTGTTGGTACCTCTAACCTTGTTGGTTTGTGTGGTTTCGTTTAGTGGGAGGTCGTCCAGAGGACTCTGAATGGCTCTCAGTTCTACACCTACTCCGTCTGCAACGTTGGCGAACGGGAGCAGGACAACTGGCTGCGCACCACCTTCATCCAGCGGCGGCCGTCGGCCTCGCGGGTTTTCGTCGAGATCCAGTTCATCGTGCGTGACTGCAACTCTTTCGACGGCGCCTCACTGACCTGCAAAGAGACCTTCAACCTCTTCACGTCAGAGTCGGACGCAGACGTTGGGACGACCTTCCGCAAGGGCCAGTTTAAGAAAGTGGCCACGATAGCTCCTGACGAGATCACCAGCAAAAACGAGATGCGCATCAACAAAGAGACGCGAGTGGTGGAGAGCCTGTCACGAAAAGGTTTCTACCTGGCCTTTCAGGACATCGGGGCGTGCGTTGCGCTCCTCTCTGTCCGGGTCTACTACAAAACCTGCCTGGCCACAGTGAAGAGCCTCGCCTCGTTCCCCGAGACCGTGGCCGGAGGTGAAAACCAGGCTCTCCGGGAAGTGAGCGGAGTGTGCGTGGATAACGCCGTCAGCGAGGAGTTGCCTCGCATCTACTGCACCGTGGACGGGGAGTGGGTGGTGCCGGTCGGGCAGTGCCAGTGCAAACCAGGCTATGAGGAAGTGGAAGACGCGTGTCAAGGTAAGAGTGAACTGTTGAATCTTTGCTGCTTGTAAAGGTCCTTCAGCCACCAGAGGCTTCACACCAGAGAGAGAGAGAGTTTCCCAAAGAGACCGTTTGGCATTGGTCACCTTTGACCTTCTTTTTAATTGTCACATGTTGTAAAACGAGCCTGTGTGGCAGTCTGCAGATATTTATCATAGCTGTTATTATCATTGCTCAGTGGAATTCTCCCCTTGGCTAACACGGCTTCTCTGCGATGGAAGGAATGCCGAGGCCGACTCGTGCATGTCCTGGCATCATCCCTGACCTTGAACCGATACCTGTGAAATTAAGAAATGCGCTTCTGAGTTTCAGCCATGACTTCGAGACATTCAGATTGTTCAAGCACAATTTGCTCGTGTTATAAAATGCTGCGCCCTCTGTGTCATCACAGGCCGAAGACGGGCTCTGAGAAAAGCTCCCATCGAGGTCGTGCCTACTGGTTGTAACCCCTCTGAGCTCTACGGATGTTTCTGTTAATGTCTTTGCGATAATACAGCGTAGGAATATGGTTTAAATGTTGTTTAAATCTGTTGACTCTCCACTTTCGGTTTCATATTCTTGTAAAATAGTACATGACTCAAAGATGGAGCTAGAAGTCCTCGAAGCAGAGTGACAAACAACACTCCAAACTCAAAATCTCTACTACAAAATCTCATTTTAAACATTTATTATACATTTATCTTCTATTTCACTCATATATTGCACTATTTTTTGTGAACCTAAGACTTTGATAAACATATTCAATTCATCCACATCAGTAATTTGGAGAATCTCAAAAGCAGGGCTTCAGTTTTTCAGCATTTGGGCCAAATGAGGGTCAGAAATGGGCCTCGTTACAGAGAGAGTTCTGTGATATGCAACCTTTTGAAAAAGGTGACTTTAAGAAATAGTGTAGAAATGCAGAAAATACCCGGAGACCTCAGAGGGTTAAAACATAAAATAAACACATATTTCATCTGAAGCACAAAACATTTACAAATCCTCTTTATAGTGTTTTATTTTTGTCACAGTCACTTTGAAACCACACATTAAAGAAGTAGTTTAATGGATGTCAGAGTCGTGTTCAGACACTTCACCTCTCACAGGAATAGCTCATGACTTACAGCCTGTTGCATCAGGTGATTTCCTGCTCTCTCATTATCGCCCGTCCTCTTATCTTGATATGGGCGTGCTGCTCCGGAGTCGAACCATCACTCAGGCCTTTGACTTTGTAGTTGTGGTGTATTTTTGTGTTTTAAGTCCTTGCAAAAAAAGGAGGCTTTTATTGTTGTGGGGAGGCTGTCAGTGACTGAAAGTGATGAAAGAAGCTGGGAGGCTACTGTACTGTGATGGATTAGCATCTTTAAGGCTGGTCTCGGGGGGGAGGAAGCTTCTGACTTTGTTCGTCTCAGGCATCACAGAGAGCGGAGGCCCCTGTGCGTGTGATCAGGGACGCCGACGACATGTCCCCCCCGTCTGCGTCGGCATCCGCCCCCCCCCCCTCCTCTCTCTCCTCCTCTGTTTGCACAAATGTGCTGAGCCTCAGCTCTGGGGTGTGTGGTGTGACTGCAGCAGTGTACGTTAACATACAACACAGGCCGGCATGTGAGGGCCTGTCGAGATCTGCTCCATGACAGAGCACCTAAAGACTCCCGTCAGCCCCAAGTCCCCCCCCTCCCCCTCCTGTTTGTACACACACACACACACACACACACATGACCTGAAACACACTGACACACAGGTATGAACGCCGTGGAACACACGCCTCGGACTACAATTGTAAATCCACATGCGGCCCGTCGTTTGCTCCCCTCCCCCCTCTGTTTGGCAACAGGCATGATAAGTGATGAAGTTTTCTGTCAATGCATCATTTTTAGCTGCGGGAAAGTGCCAGGGAAGATGATTAAGGAGGAAGGCGGAGGCGGAGGAGGAGGAGGAGGAGGAGGAGGAGGAGAGGCAGGAAGGAATGAGAGAAAAGTCATACAAAAGCAATAGAGAGGCTGTTTTTAGTGGAGGGGTGTGATTCTTTTTGGAAAACACAGAGAGAGGTGAGGACTGGAATGTAAAGGTAGGAGAACAATGAAGAGCTGTGTTTCCCTGCGAGGGCTGGAGGAGCCCACCTCCACCTCCACCTCCACCTCCAACTCCTCCTCTCCCGCTTGGTTGGTACATTCCTGATCAGTTTGCCGAGGAGGAGCCTCCCAACATTACTCCAGACCTGTGGAATGCCCAGGGGAGGAAGAGCAGCTCCGGGTCAAGCCCTCACATAAAAATGACTAAACAAAGAAATCCCCACCACCACCACCCCCCCACCCCCCCCCCCCCCCCCCCCGCAAAAAAAAAAAAAAAACCTACCGAGATGAAGTCAAATGAGAGGTCTGAGACACGTGAGGGCAGCCGGAGATGGACATGAATCACAGGGTTGCAGCGCAGGGCTCCAGACGCACGGCTCAAAGGGCTTTAAATGGATTCACATACAGACACACAGTTAATCATCCTCCCCACTTCTTTCCTGTTTGGGGGGGGTCGGGGGGCGGGGGGACCCACAAAACTTCAATTGTGGTGTTTTTTTCTAACTCGGGTTAAAAGTTTCCATGTTCGTCGATGTGATCACTCAGTTTTACGGCTCCTCAGCCCCGAAGGACCCCGTTAAAATAGAAATCTGTGACTTTATCTGGTTTTCGTCTCCGTCTCGTCATCTCGGCTTCCACATCACTTGTCCGTCAAACTGTGACCCCCCCCATCACCACCACCACCACCACCACCCTCCCGTCGAGGTATCTGTAGGTGGCATGTGCACGTCCGTCGCTCATGCTAACTACAGAGTCCTTCTCTCTGGACAAACAAACTGTAAAGATAAAACACATCTCTTCCTGCGCCGCAGAGACCCACCGCAGTGTTTAGAGCAGCAAATGTAAAAGCTTTTATGAAGCGGTTGTAAATCATATCAGCCGCGGAGGCCGAGCACAGAGCTGGCCTTTGTTTTTAATCTGAGCTTCACAGACCACTATAAAGCAGAATTATTTTTACTCTTAACACACGAGCATCAAACTATAAACTGCTCTTATTACCACGTTCCTCCTCAGACTGCTGAAGGCTGTCTCTCTCTCTCTCTCTCTCTCTCTCTCTCTGTGTTTCACTTTGTTTGTCCTTTACCAACAGAACTAAAACTTTTATTACAGACACTTTTATTTCAGATTCTGCTGAAATACAAAGATTAAAACCGTCTTTCTACTTAAATACTCTTTTATATTAAAAGTAAAACTAATCGTTGTGCAGAGTGGCTCCTATATATATTATGATATTATATTACTAGATTATTATTACTCATGAATTAACATGTTAATGTTTCACCTGGTGGAGCTGGAGATGGTTTTACATACCTGTGATTTAATACGGACACTGATGCATCATATCTTAATCTTAGTAGGAACTAGGTGCAATGTAATAAGAGAAAAGTGCAGTATTTACTGAAACAGTACAGTAGGAGTACAAAGCAGCATAAAATAGTAAGTACAAGTACATCAAAATTATACCTAAGTACAGTACTAGAGTAAATTAGGGTTAGGGTTAAAAAATAACAAAGGATGTCGGGCTTTTAATCTTCGTGAGAAAACAAACTTTCTTTTTTTAAATTCTGGAAAAAAACAGAAATCTGGACTTTTTTTGTAATTAAGTGGTTGAATCGTTTTTAACCCCGACAGCAGCAGCAGCAGCGCTGTGGGTTTCCACTTGTGACTCACTGTTGACACTGACACAGTTTTCCTCCGCTGCCTATCACGCCCTTCCTTACCCATAATCCTCCCTGGCACAAAAGAACGGCATACCGCGTGTCACCCCCACAAAGGAACCGCGGGCTGCCCCGGCTGGTCCTCGGGATTGTGTTTAACCGTCCAGGTCCACACCTCATCAGCCGCTCTAAAGCCTCAACAAACAGCGCTTAATCCCACATCACGGTTCCCACAGGGCCGCGTTTATAAAGACACACACGCTGTGGAATATTTGGACCGCTGGCGGCAGTTTTTCGGTGTCTTGGAGAAAATGGCGTCTTGGTGGAACAACTGTCCACTGAGTTCCAGTAAAGTTATTATTCCTTTGGCCAACGAGATTCCAGTAAACCGTTCTCTCTCTCTCTCTCTCTCCCCCCACATCCCCCCCTGTCCATGTCTCATCCACAGCTGATGTAACAAACAGTCGGTGACTAAGTTGTAGTTGTGCGACTGTACGCCGTGGTGAGTGATTTGTATGGGTAGTAATTGACTTGGGTGTGTTTGTGCTTTTTAAGCGAACTAACTACTGGTTCTGCTGCTTTCTTGCCTTTGTGCAACCTCTCCTCTACCTCTCTCCCCACATCCTCGCCGTCCCTGAAGACTCCCTCTGTTTTAACCTCAATTATCCGCCTCTCGTCTTCTATTTATTTGATGCTTTCTTATCTCAACACATAACTCCCATGACCATTTCACGGTCCTTAATGCATTTTTACTCAAGAGACGCTCGCTGTTGCGCAAGATGTCCCAAGTACAACAAACTGACAGACAAACAAAAAGTTTCTCCTTCATGTGTTGTGTTCTTCTTGTTGGTGAAATCACAGAGCGGCTGTTATTTTTGGAGGCAGTTCTTTTTTTTTTTTTTTGGTGCAGGTCATGAATATGACACCGATAAAGTTTAAACATCCCGTTTCACACGGCCCTGATGGAACTGTTTCGACTGTATACACTTCTCCTCTCGCTCTCTGATAAATACTTCTCTCCGCGACCGACTCCTCAAGATAAATACAGGCTGAATTTGAACAATGCTGCAAATCAGAGTTGTTTTTAGTGGAGAAGAAAAGACAAAGTGGTTAATGCATAAACATTTAGTGAAAGGTGAAATGTCTCAGTTTTAGGATTTGAATCCCTGATCGTTCTCTTGGAGACACAATCACCCCAGACCTTTTTAAAGACCGAGGTCTCTTTCAGCTTTATCTGATGCGGGAGTATAGAAAGCAACGCGAACGT